TACGGTTTGTTGGACTCACCGATCAAGTGTAACTTTTTTTACGACAGCCACTTTTCTGGCATTCTGGGATTGGGTCAAGTTACAAGAGCATGTGATCAAATTTTGTTCATCACACGTAGGTACTTTTTAGTAAATTGACCTGGGGCCAACTTATTCCTGGGTTCCAACTAGTTCGTGCCCAGATATTTCACCATCTTCTAAAATGAAAGTGTTCCTGAGGTGCCCTCTAGAAAATGGGAGGCAGTTGGTATCAAGATTATTCATGTGTTTGACCTGCTTCGGGTTTCCATCGCTGACTGCCAATGAGGTTTTGGCACCAACGTGGATTCCGCCAAAAGTTTACGCACCGTCAAGTCTGTAATTAGTTTTTTTTAATTCTCCGCTATATTTTAGTCCTATGATTGAATCACTTCTACAAGTTTAAGAAAATATAATATAAGCAAGGCAGCTTTCGTTTTTGTTAAAATTCTAGATTACATTTGCCCCAGGCGCCGTTCGATAAAATCGTATACGATTTTTTGACATTGTATGTAGTTACGGGATAGAACAACACCAGGGGGATTGGGGAAGGTAATTGAACTCTTTATAATAATTTTTAACAATGCTTTTTGCCAAATTATGATAAACACATAGACTTAATTCCAATCACACTGTCCTAAAAGATATCCATTTAAAGACTGAACAAAAAAGGGAATGTTCTGGTCACCAAAATGAAAGTGTTGATTACATCCTGAGTCTTCTTTTATCAATCCAATACAATATCATATTTTCACCAGTCATAGCATGTTTTCATTCAGATTATTACACATCGGTGACTCATGTGCAGTTACGTTGGTTAGCCTACGTAAAATCGAGCCTTAACGAAGAGCGAGACGATATCCGAAATCGGGTGCGACCAAGGAACGTAACTTATTAAGCGAGAAGAGAAAAAAAAAATAACCTGAATTTATTTACTCAGATAGACAAAATGAGGCACAACAAAGCGAACATCTTACCGATTTAGGGATCCCATGCAGACTTGCCAACGTTGTTCGATTTTATATCAAAATAGGCCATACAGACGCACGTGGCAATATATTTCACCATCTGAAGAGCAACTTCGTCCCTAAGAAATAAATTCAACATACTGTACTGTCAGTATGATATTGTTGTCAACATTTAAGGAATCTGCATTGAGTAATTTCTCATTGTATGATAAATGATTGAAATTTTACAGTTACAGTTTAAGAAGTTTTTACCCGTCCAGTATGTACTTATTCTCATTAAATTTAAGGATATTGTCACTCTTCGCCCAAAACTCCTAACTTACTGCCTTACATACTTTCTTTTGGGTAATAGATAAATCTTCAGTGTTCAATGGCTAAATTCATAAACATTTATACATATGTCATCTTACGGGTGACGTCATAATTTCGATTTTAGGATAGAAACTGAAAAATCGGTTCCTCAAATTTCTCCTTTACCTGAGCACCCACGACCACCGTTTCAACGCCGATTTAATGACACCATTTAGTACACCAACACCCTGACAGCGATTTTTCTTAGAAGACTTAGTTAAGATTTTATCATTAATAAAGCAAAATAATGTCTTTTTTTAATGAAAATCTGTAATAAATGGCTCATAACTCGTGGTCAACTCTGCCAATTTCCACGATAAAGTCTTGTTCAGGGATGAAGTTACGCCTCATACCGATTGTATCTCACCTCAAAATAGAAAGGTGTTAAATTGACGATTAAAGCTTTGAGATGCCTATGCTTATATTCTAAATGTAGATAACACAAGCCGATGCTTTTTCATTTTTTTAAATCAGAACATCAGAAGATAGGTGCATTATTGAATAATTAGAATAATTTCAGTATCTGGATTATAATAAAGGGTTACAATATCCTTAACATATTAATATTGTGAAGATGTGAAGAGAAAACTATTCGTGTTTCATAGGCACGTAAGCGTACAAATTAATTAACATATTAAATTGTTTGTATTTAACTGATAAAAAAAACTTAAGATAAATTTTCTGTCTATCCTCTTTATGAAAAAAACTTCACTGTAGATTAACCTTGCATAGGCCTTAGATGTTGGTGCCTTTAATGCTAGGTTGTTAACTACACTTAAAATATTTCGAACGGTTAGTGGAATGTCACATCCGCAAATAAAAATAGCAAAGATAAATTGGTAACATTACTTTACATGATTAATCACAGTTTTTTCTGGAAGTTTGAGAAGAGTAAGTGATATGGTTTTCCTTTAATTGTCACTATGGAGGCAGTGCCCAAAATAGGGTTTTCTTCATTTTTGATACAATGTTACATAATGCTTAACAGCATAATGACCATCAATTTTTAATAATAAAATAAAAGTATGATGGATATTCAGAAAATGTGACTTGCAAAGGTATTCAAGCCATCTGAAGTTAAAAGTCACACCTTAAAAATGTCAATTTGTGAAAGATAAAAAATTCACAAAAAAACTGTATAACTTCCAGAAAATTTAACCAATAACAGAGCATTCACATCGAGAAGAGCCGAGGTCTAGCAAGGCCGAGACCTAAATATGGCGGACCTACATGACAGGAAAACCGCGTAATCCTGACTGCATTCTGACAGCATAAACGATATTCTCAGTATGTTTCAACTACATTCGAGCTGCATTTGAGAGCTCATACACCCGAAATGCACGAATCTTTCCGGGCGGATTCGAAGAGCATTCTGAGTATTCCAACGATATTCTTACAAGAATTTAGGTCACTTTGAAATTTCTTCCCGAATGTGGTGCGAATTTTAAAAATTCTTCGTTCCGGCTCATTCTGCTTGATTACTGCTGATTCCAAATAAGTGTGACGGAGGCTTGACGAGTGCGATTATCAAAATTAGTAAAAGAGATACTTTTAAGTTTAAAAACAAAATGGCCCGTATACTTCTAAAACTAAATTTTAAAGATGCCATACGGTATCTTTTTTATGGGAATTGATAAGAGACAAAATAATCAACAGGTATACTGGGGGAAATGTAGGGCCTATAGATATATTGAAACCAACGCCCGATTGTTGTTCTGCTAAAAAGCATCATCAAAAATACATTGTATCTCAAGACGTAGAAAAATTCAATGTTATATGGCAGAAATGGATAGATATATATGGATTTGTGTAGTTGCATGTATACAAGTTATTGACTGTAATTTTTTTATATGTTAAATCCTTGTGGACTTAAGTATTGTAATGAATATTGTGTGCTTGTAAAATTTATGTAGGCCCTACTTGCTTTTTTTCTATTGCAATAAAAAAAAGCATCATCTTACCTCGTTTTCGAGTTTCTCTGTGAAAAATATACATTTAACTGTATTTTGTGCCTAAAAAGGCCATATGCGACGCAACTATCATTGCTGATATAGCCTACTTTGCTCAAATGAAAATGGCCGTATTCACTTCACTTGCGCCACTGAAATAATTTTGATAAACGCAATAGGCCTATTCTATACCAACTTGTTACGTGCTTAACGTTGAATTTCTCTATTTTAAAATGACAAAACTTGGAGTTTCTGTTAGGCCTTATACGTTACGTAGTAGTCTGAATTGCAAGAACCCAAATATCTATGAATCAATTTTTTTTTTTTTTTTACAATAAACTTATATAGTACAAAGTAGGTTATTAATGAATGATAACGAATAATAAATGCTTGTTTTAAAAGAAACTAAAAATTTCATCTTAAACTGGCATTAATGTATTAAACCCATCAGATTCACAGTTACTAGTACCACATATACAAGTCTCTTGGTGTGCATTCTTCATGTGCAAGCCAAACAACGAATACGTCTATTTAAAACAAACTAATAATGGTATAAAACTGTATTTGAAGGAATCATTTATTTTTGTTTTAAAAATAACTAACAATTTTAACCTTAAATTGGTGTATATGAGGGTCAAGTTGGTTCAACTAGCCCAAGGTGCACTTAATCAAGGCGTCAGCATACATTGATTTATAGATTACTTGGCAATTATTTTACAAGTTCGGGAAGTTTTGAAAGAATGAAATCTCAACCGCAGTTGGATTCCGTGGGTGATGCTAAATTTTTCAAAAGATCAAAAAATTATTTGATTTTGTCTGTAAGGCGCGGGCGGGCGGCGTCCGCTGGGTCTTCTGGAAGACTGTCAGAATTTTGGAAGTTTACATTGACGGGCATCTCATTTTTTCTGTCGGAAGACGGTTTAGAATTTTCAAAATTCCGTCAACGGTCTTCTGTGACTGTCTCAAAAATTCAAATTAGCTGTCGTCAGTTGGCAGGTGTACTAATTGTTGATGCAATTAGAATACCAGTTAGTTGTCCACAAGAGCTCGTTATCAATTAGTACTGCAGTATGTAGGGATTAGCTGAGTTCCCCACCATTTTTTACTTGTGGACGTTTGTGGTCTTAATAATTAGACAGCTCCATTTTATAAATCCATACCAGGCACGTAGCCAGGGATGGTCCGGAGCGTTCCAAAGAACCACCCTTTTTGCCGGGGAAAGGTCCCCTCTCGGTAAAATTTTATCAGGTGCACGAAGATTTCATGGTAAAAGTTCCACTTTTTCCGAAAAAGAATCCCTCTTTAAAATTGCTTTCTACGGTTATAAATAGCGTTCAGCGCTTGTACGAACAAACGATTTATTCGCCTAAGTTTACCACTAACCGGCATATAATCAACTAAACCGCGTTTACACATTTTAACAAGTGGTTTTGGTGGTTGTTAGCTAAAGACAATTTTATCCAGACAATTTATATACATGTTTGAAGATAAAACAAAATAAGAGAGTGTGTGTGCCTACGAAACAAAAAGACGAATCTTGTAATGAAAAAGCGTATTATTATTATTCTCATGTAAAAACTATAGGGCCGTGTTCGGATCTAAAAATTACCCAGTCGGGTCCAGTTGCTGCTCATACATGTACCATTGTGCAACCCCAGACACCGAATGCACAGGAAATGGTAGGGGGGGGTCATGTAACAGCCGTTACATTACCCACAATGCACTAGTGTAGCTGCTCGTTTCCAAAATGGCTACTTGGAAGGACTGGTTCAATAAGCATTTCACCACAAGTGGACAGGGCATCAACAAATATCCAGTTGGATATAAAGCTGAAATACATGGTCCCTATGTGGAATATAGGTATTATGGCCCAAGTAAGTAAGAATTCCGAGTGACACCTTCCAAATATATAACATTTCGGGGTTATATATCTACCCCTGGTCTGGAGAAATCGTGTGGACCCTTATTTCTTACGTGCTGTTAATTTTGTCACTTAAGAGTTGGGTCTTGCTGCTTGTTTTTGTTACTTCATTGGTGTAAGAACGAAAGCATCATTTACTTCAAGAATAAAGCCGAGTCTACAAAATCTGTTATAACTCCTTGATCAGGGGCGGATCCAGACATATTTTCTGAGAGTCTTCCAAATTATTTTTGTTGATCCATCTTCCATTTTTGACCGTCTTCCGACAGAAAAAATCACATACCCGTCAATGTAAACTTGAAAATCTGACCGTCTTCCTGAAGACCCAGAAGACGGCCTAAATCCGCCCCTGTTGATTCACTTTACTCTAGAAGTACTTTTGGAGACTAAGTTTGACTAAAAGAAGCCCAGAAACCCCCACCATAGCAAGAAATTCATGCGCTAGCACTCCTTATTGACGATGTTTGATATGTACTTTTCAAAATCATCAAGAAGACTGCTATTGCACAAATTTTGTGCTACCCAACCACTGCCAACACCACATCAAAAAAAGAAGGGTCCGTACGATTTTCACACAAACTTGGGAATTTAGAACACTTTAACAGGTGTTTAGATCAAAATTTTCTTAATTGCAGGTTTTGGGTAGTGGGGGGGGGGGGGGGTAAAGGGTATTAATTTTAGTATATTAATGTATTTTGCACACTGTATGCCTTCAAAATCTTTAAACCTTTTTTTTTTTTTAAGTCATAATGGGAACCCCAAGAGTTATCTGTCATTTTTATTTTCAGAGGATACGCCTTTTGAAGATGTGAAGCTTGGAGATCTCCGCAGCTGGCTAGCAAGGCGCAAGAAGACACCTGGAGCTATTTTAGGTGCCATCAGCAGAGGTTTGTCACTATGCTTTCTCTGAATTATGTAAATGTCAACCTTGAACTTAATATATATTTAACTAGGAGTTAAGATACATACGTCACTCATTGCTTCTGTGGTGGCAAGTGGTGCTCTTAGAATTTTTTTTTTGTTCATACAGACACAGAACTGATGTACAAATTAGTACAGAGATGTGTGTTATTCTCATTGCTAAGCATAAGCATAGGCACCTCAAAATGTGTATTGTCAAATTAACAACTTTATTTTGAGCTGAGATAGTAATCAGTATCAGGCCTACCCAACTACCAGACTCGGCACCTAATGATCCCGAATTTACCGATAGATCGGACCACACTACCCGTTTTCAAGGTGTGCGTCAGTACGCATTTCGCAGTATCATACCCCAGAACAATTTTTGAGATGAGGTTCACTACTTTCCAACCCCGCTCAGAATTATCGCTGTCACATGGTGTAGGCAAGGTCGGTGTCGCATCTGATATTTCGAGGCGCGTACTGATACACACCTTGAAAACGGGTATTGTGGTCCGATTTACCAGTGAATTCAGGATCATTGGGTGCCAAATCTGGTAGTTGGGTAGGCCTGAGTATGAGGTGTAACTCAGTCCCTGAACAAGATCTTAATAATAAAATTGGCATAGGTGATGACAAGTGAATGGGCTGAAGTCCTCATTTGGTTTAAATGTTTTTTTCATGGAGTGACAATGTGACTTTGTACTAAGGAATTCAGTAAGTGAACACTGAGGTTTTATAGATCCATTATCCAAAAAATGTGTAAGGCAGTTAGTATAAGGAGTTTTTTTGGTTAACCCTGATAGTACCCGTAAGTATATAAAATATAAAAGGACTGTTCAAAGATTGCAAAATTTTAATTTCAATGGCCTTACTCTGTCACTCTTTAATGTTATTTATGATATTGTTAAATGTTAGATTTTAGAATATTTTTTATTTTATGAAGTCCACATATTGTTCATTAATGTTCAAAAGTTATTCATGATGTTACCTTTCACAGGTCAACAGCGTTGGAGCCGTGCCTATTTCAATGCTAGGTATCCTAGTTATGTACCTGTTATGCAGTTGGTGACAACATTATTTTTACTGTCTAGCCTGATATTGTATCGAGTAAAGATTGGTAAGTAGCAAATTTTTGAATTTTTCTTCTATGGTCCTCTTAACTTGGCTAAAAAAAAGGTGTAATACCGTCAACTAATTAAAACTAGGCTTGTTATCAGGTCTGAATAATGGAACTACATTTTAGTTGTGACAGTGCTGTTCAAATAGACACCTATTGCCAAACCCAAAGAGCAACCAGTAAAAAATTGAAATTTGTTGTTTTTCATTGATGTATTTTCCTTTTGTATTTTCAGTTCCTGAGCAAGCATGCAAGTATCATTAATGGCGTATATGTAGCAGAAAAAAGAAGACAAATTTCCAACTTTGCCAACACAGCAGTTTTCTGATGAACTTCTTACCATTTGTTAGTGTAGAATTGGGTGTGGAAATGGAATTTGATAGTTTCATTGTTTACACCACATTGTTTTCAATGAACCACCTGTGATTAAAAAAGGAAATGATTGTTGGTTTTGCATTTGCACTTAGAATAAATGCATTTTGTGCACAAATGTTTATTGGAAACCAGAATGGAGTGGTGAAATAAATAAACAAATAATTTGGTTTGTTTTTTTAGTATTAAGTTTATTGAACAAGTGGCCACAATTACACAAAAAATAATAATTCAGCAGAAGCTTTAAAAACTTGCAATGATAAATTGGAATGTTAGTTTGTATATACAGTGCATGTGGGTCTGTCCACAGTAAAGTGTCAAAAGGTGTGACACAGATCAAAATCACTGCTGTTGTGATGATCATTAAACTGTTTGATGGGAAGCTTTCACTTGCCTCAACAGAGTCGATGCCATCCATCTTTTTTCAACACAAGACCTGTGAGAAGTGAGTGGACAAGAAGCAATGGTATTTAACATACAAAGGGTTTTGAGTGCTTATCAGTGGAGTTCAAATTTCAAGTAACGTTTTTACAGCTATGTTTTTTTCGCATTTTTTTTTTTTTTTTTTTTTGCATATTTTGAGAACAGTTCAACTCTTGTTGCATTTTATAGTTTGTCAAGCAAAAGGTTTTATTGGTTTTCCATATGAATGTGCTTACTCCAGCTGGTGGTACAGTATCCGGTGGCAGTATTGCCTCTCTGATCCTCTAGTTTATGTTTACTATTAGTATGATTTTATGTTTATTATTACTGTATGTTCTATTGCAACATGTAAAATTTAATGCCTAGTTGATACTACTGTGGACAGACCCATATACTGAAAGGCCAATCAATTTATAAATACCAATCAACCTTGAAAAATTACTTGATGATATGTTCTAAAGACTACTTTTTGTCTGCTTGGCTCAAGCCTGCTGCAGCTGCAATTCTAATTTTTTAATAATAAGTTCTGCAACAAATTTCAAGAACTATAAGAAGATTTAATGGAAAAGGGGACAATTTTCTACCAGAGCGTTTAACCTTCCTGATTATCACTGTATCAAAATCATGCCAAGTGAATACTTACTTCATAAAAGGAAAGAAAAAAAAAGACTGAATTTGCATAGAAATCTGGTAACAACTGGTCACAAAGATAAGCAAATGAAAAAATCTAAAAAAAAAACAAAACATTTGAGTGCATTGTGAGAAACAGCATGAAGTGAAGTGGACAAAGAGAAATATAAGGATTGTGTCATTAAAATCTAATAAAGGTGGGTATTTAAAATACCCTTTATGTCTTCAATTCAAAATCTCATATACTGCTTTTTTTAATATATATATATGATATAATGCAGTTACATGATACAAACTGGCTAATGAAGTCACAAAAACGTCTATACTTGAGCTTATTGTTCACTTTTTTATATAAATAATTTCTATTTTAAAAAATCTCTGTTAGTATTACATTAAACAAGTCCATAAGATCTGGAAAAAGGTTGCAAATGCTGCTATAAATGTCATATTTTAAATAATTACCAAAGCATACAGAATCTACAGGATTTTCACTACATAGTATAGTGCCAGTCCCTAGAGCACATTTTCACAATAATATTTTTAAAAAGCCTGAGAAAACTTTCTGCACTTGTTACTTCTTGATTATAAAGGACAAAGTATACAAAACAAATGTCTATATCACACTTGTTACAAAGTAAATACATTGTGTTCAGATCACTTTACTGTAATAAAATTTTTTGTATGAACTGAAGGGAATGGTAGTCACAGCACACACACATAAAAGGCAAGTCATGTCCAAAAGGAATCACAAAAAACCAATCACATATCATAAATACATCACTGTCTTGAAAATACAGAGATATTGGTCTTCAACTCAAATACAGAAAAAAATAATGAGGGTGGAACCTTTCCATGTGCACAGCTGCCAGATGCCTTACTCTGTGAGTCTATATGGTATTTCTCCTCCCATTCTGCGGAATATAAAAAATGCTCCAGCAGCACCAATCAACAGGCCAAGCACTATCATTCCAACTCCAAGGCCAGCCATTGCTCCTGAAAAAGGCACCATAATGATAGATAAAACTAGTTTTAAAATAATTGATTTACATACCTTATTAAGCTCATAGGCATTTCTTGTTTAAAAAAAGGGAAAATGGGATGTACATCATCATTCCTATATTGAATTAGCCTTGTAGAGACCATTCCCAGACCCTATCGTACAAACTTTGGATATTTGTGTCTCTTATCAATAATGCACATCCTTGCTCACAGGGTCATTTTTAAAACCAGAAGAGAACTGAAACTGACTTATTTTCCTTATAGCAATATACTGTGCAATTTATAAAATCTGTGAAGACAATGTTGAGATGGAATTAGTTGTAATTATCAGAAATAACTGAAAAGCATTCAAATAACCAAGAGCTGATCTGTAAAAATGGCCAGATATGTGCCCAAGAAGAATTTGCACCACAATCATACCTGCAGTAAAACCTTGTGTAGTATATATATACTTCGGGCTGACTCTTGGATCCAGTGCATCTTCACTTGTCAACAAAGAGCCTTGTCTCACTTTCAAATTCTACAGAGAAAATATTAAACTTTCACTATTCATCATAAAGCTGGTGAGCAAGATGCAGCTATAATCTACAAATGTTGTCCTTCAGTTGAAAGTTACAAGTTGAAAGTTTCTGTAATGAAATATCTGCTATGAAATAATTTAGCAGTTTATTGATGCAACTGTCAATAGATTGTTCACTAGGTATGCTTAAGACAATACTGAAAAATGATGGATCACACTAGAAAATTCTCTTAATATAACCAGACAAAAGTACTTTTTTAAAAAAATAAACAGAATTGAGTTAAAGCAACATCTTAGGGAAATAACAACCCAATGTCACACACATTTTAATCTCATATTGCTTATGCAAGTGGAAAAAAACACACACAAAAACACACACACACGCACAAAAAAGAAATCCCCATTCAAAGTTCCATGCCAAACTCTTAAAGAATGCAAAGTACCATAAAAACTGACTGCAAGCTAGTTTAAAATGTGAAACCGCTGGATGAGATCGACTCCACAAAAGAACAAACAAGGACCCTTGGCCATCCAATCCCTGCATGCACCACCCTCACAGTGAGCAGAAGGAGAGGTGGGTGGGAAAGGTACTTTTGGTATACGGTGTCATGGCTATATATTTACCTTGATTTTTTGGTCATCATATGTAACAGTGATAACCATATTGTTCTTAACAGCCTTTTCTAGATTGGCCTTAGCAGCACTGAGAGATGTGTTATCTTTGGTGCCATTCAGCACATCACCTAAATAAATACAAAACGGAACTCTTCAAAACTTCATTTTGACCAAGTTTCAGTGTACAGATGACAAATATTATCCATGATACAAAACAAATGTATCAACAAATCAGTAAGCAGAGAGAGTTCAATGAATTTTCCTGTTTGAAGTCAACTTTTAGCAAATGTCTAACTTTAATATCACAAATGTACATCAGACACTTGGTTCAGTTTCCTTATCAATTCATTCCTTCCAAGGTTATTTTTCAGCCTTTCTGCTTAAAATGGTCTAAATAACTTGTTAATTTAAGAGTTGGAGACCAAATAAAAATGTTGTTATATAGTGTATGTGTCACTCACCAGTTACTGTAGGTTTCTCTAGAAGGGTAAACCAGACGTCCACATAGTTCACATTGGTCTGATCAAACTGAAAGTGACAAGTGGAGATATGAAAGCTACAAGAAAACAACTATGGGTCACTCCTTCCTATTATCATTCTAAACTTAAAAAAACAACAGAAGTTTACAATATGAATTTAAAGATAACTGAGATCAAGCAACCTTTCGGTCTAACTTATCTGTGAATAAATTCATGAACTCACAAAAATGTCATGGACTCTAATGCTGGAGATGTTAGCAGTCTTGGCAATAGCATTTTTCACAGCTTTAAGTAGCGGCCGTTTCTTTTCATAGACCAAATCCAAGTAGTTGCCTGTGTAAAAAAAGTGACATCTGCTATTATGAAACTCTTAATGCTCATGTTCGGTATAACATAAAACTTCCAGATATCTGGCCAACCTGGTCTTACCCTTTATATATTTAGTAAAATAGTATGTTGAGTGTATGTAAAGTAGCCAAGATGAAATCTTCAGTGAAAAAAAAAAAAGTGTTAAAAGTGGCAGTGATAGTGAAGGCTTGTTTTTGAACATTAGATGTATTTAAGTCCAAGGTGTCACTTCCCCAAGTATGAGATGGAATTATAAGTATGAAATATATATATATTTTTTTTGTGTTAAGAATGACAGGGAACTCCTTGAAAATTCAAATTTGTGAACAAATGTCACCAAAAACTGCATTACTTCAAGAAAAAGAATGTAATCAGGCTGGTTTTCAAATTCAAGCTATATCTTAGTCATATGAATCTTATACAGGGGCAGATTTAGGGCGTCTTCTGGGTCTTCCGGAAGACGGTCAGATTTTCAAGTTTACATTGACGGGTATCTAATTTTTTCTGTCGGAAGACAGTCAAAAATGGAGGATGGCTCAACAAAGATAAATTGGAAGACTGTCAGAAAATAACTCTGGATCCGCCCCTGTTATATGTAAGTTTTAAAATAATAAGTGACACGGTTTCCCTTTTATGGTCTTTATAGTGGCAGTGCCCAAAAAGGGTGCTCTTCAATTTTGATGCAATATTACAGTATGCTTCAGAGCATAAACACCACAATTTTTTTATTATGTACTACAAGTAACATGGATAATCAGATAATGTAACTAGCAATGGGCTTCAGGCTCACAGGTGTTCAGTCATACCATGAAAATGTTCTTATGTAAAATATGAAAATTAAAATAAAAAACTGCATTACTGCGAGAAAAAGAATATAATTTGTATGGTTTTCCAATTCAAGCTGTACTTCAGTCCTAAAAATCATTTCTGTAGTCTTGAGAATGAAAACTAACATTATTTACCTTTTATGGTGTTAAATACAATAAGCATTATTCAAATCTATTTAATAAGTAAGATAATAGGTAAAAACATTAGAAAACAGAAATTAAAAGCTCGTGAACAACCTCTTACCCACTACTCTAAACACCATGCCCTGCTTCTGCTTAGGTTGGTCATAGCAGGAACTGATATCAAAGGAATCTTCATCGGGATGTCCATTGTAAAATTCAAAGATGTTCATAAAAAATTCATAAGACTGAAATAAAAAGAAGCAAATTTTACAAGAGGAGAGGAGTGGTTCCCTTCTGGGTATGTACCACAAGTTAGGCACATAATTGGGAGAATATCATTCTCCGACATTTAAGAGAATTTTATCTAGGTATTAATTAATAATTGACGCAGACACTTGTGGGCAAAGGATATGTGACATTACTGAGGAAAAAGCTAATTGTAGATGTATGCCTCAAGCACAATTACTATTGTCATTGAATCAGTAATTTTGACCATCACAAAGAAAAATTAAAAGTTTGGCCAGAAATTCCAAGCAGTGGTGGTACATGTACGATGCAAAGAATTCAAGAAAAAAAGTTCTTCGTTTTTTTCATATTGCATCTAATGATGCTTAAATATGCTTACTGACGAAGTCATTTTTTTAAAATCTTTCCTACTGGGTTCACACACAGTAAAATTAAAAAGAAAAAAATTTAACTTAAACTCTCCTTACCTTGTTGCCACTTCCAAACTTCATCCAAGTGGCAACAGGAACAATGGTTTCATTTTCGTTGTTTTCAACAGTATAAGTCCAATTTGCCTGTAAAAAAATAATTGATTAAAACTGATAACTTATTTATGCCATGGGTTTAACAATATTTTTAATAAAAACCGCCCATCACTTGAAGAGTTAAAATTTAACATAAAGTATTAAATAGCCTTTTTTGTAAGCTTCTGTGAAAAGTATCAAGTAATTCTTTTTAAATGAAAACAAGTGAAAGACACAACAAACTTTAAGATAACACATATCTGATTATCTTACGGGGGTGAAATATACTTCTGATGTCACAAAATGACTCTTGTTCCACCTTGAGGGGAAACTGGTGACCCATACATCTGCTGGAATGTCTCTGATCATCCTCTGGAAAATCAAGTACAGTCTCTCTTAGGACTCCTTTTCACCATGGGATTATAACAAAGGAGTCATTTATCATAAAAACCACAACACTATATCAATACTATTTCTGCTTTGTTATACATTGACTTGAATCAAAGGCTAAGGAAATAAAGACATCACATTGAACTGACACTGTAACAAATATGTAGTAAATGCCAAGCTGTTCTCACCTGGCCTTCATATGAAGTGTTCAGGTTGTTGAACATTTGACCCTCCCACATCTCATAAGAATGCTTCATCCTAAGATGATGATGATCTGGCATCTGCTCACCATCCCAAGCAAGTAAAGGAATGGGATGAATTGTGCAATTCCCCTTTTCTTTATCAATAACATACTCTAGGCCTGAAGAAATATTCAAATATACACTGTATAAGTTCTATTAATTCTAAATGCCTACATATTCTTTTGAGTTATATTCATGCTGACTTGAACACGTTTCGCTCATATCAGCTACATTGTATTCGACCCCTTTCTCCTTATGGATGTAGAAGCTGCCAATAACATTAATTTGTTGAAAAAAGTTTTAAAATCACTGTACTGGTACAGTAAATAATTTCACTTACCTGCATTGTAGTCATGAATAAACTTGAGATTTGCAGCACCATATTTTGCTGTCATGTTTCTGTTCCAGCGTCTCGTGGAGTGTTTCAGCTTCCTGTCAAAACGAAACATCTTGGCTGAAAAGTCATAAAATTCCTGAAATAGGAAATAAATATTTAAATCATTGTTGGAGGTACTTATTTGTCAATCAAGCTAAGTACCCAGGCCTTTATCATACAGATAGAGAATTAACAAGAAAGTCATCTTACAATATAGAAATTCTTTTTGAAAATCTACCACCTATCTGGGCAGACTTCAAGGGGGGGTTGAACTCACAAGACAAAAGCATGTTGAGTTCACTGATAACCTTGACATTTTGACTCTTTCACACACAGTTCACTATAAACAATATCAGAATGGGGTAACTATATACCTCAGCTTTCTTAGTCCCAATTTCCCACGAGATATAACACAGGTGCTGAGCTTATTCATGCCCTAGGCCTGTTTCAGTCGAATTTAGTGTGCATTGGAAGGCTCAACAAATCGGGGAGGGGGGGGGGAGTAAGTGTATTGTGTGTGAAAGAGACAAAATGTCAGGGTTATAAATGAACTTGACGTACTTTCCTATTGGGAGTTCAACCCCCTTGCACTTCTCTTGATTAAATGTATAACATTTTTCAGTTTGAAATGTAATAATTCTTGTGCAACTTTCTTATGCCACAGACAGATAAGAAGGACACAGTTAATCTAAGGTTAGTTTTAAACAATGTGTACTTTCTTAACTGAAAAAATCTTTCAACAAAAATAATTAATCAGCAGTGCTGCATCACCTTGATCATATCAACAGATTTGGATGATTGATGTACTGTTTCCCCATCTAAAGTAAACTGGTCAGTTATGTTAGGTAGGGACTTGATATTGATCCTTCCTGGACACACTACTCCCTTTGGAGTCTGAAACCGACAACAAAACAGACAATTTACATATTCTAACAGTGTAGTTGACCAAATCAAATAAAGCACATACAGCGCAGAAGTGGGGATCTTATTCCACTGCAAATACATGAAAATGAACAGGATCAAGTTTTTCTTGGTTTCATACCCTCAGCTTGTGAAAATAATGCAATGGTGACAGAATTGGTATCTGACCAAATCAACCACACTTCCAGCTCTATGCCAGTGGTTTACTAATCATCAGAAAACATTTTGATCCAGTTCACTTTACACGTCAATTTATTTACAGCTCCAAATTAAAGCACCAGAGCCATCAACCATAATGAGTGTAAGAATTTCTATGACAAGTTATCTAATTTCTATGGCAAGTTATCTAATTTCTATGACAAGTTATCTAATTTCTATGGCAAGTTATCTAATTTCTTTGGCAAGTTATTTGAAAGTTTTCTCTTAATCACCAGGGCACACCCAAATGAAGAATTTTCCAGGTTTTTTTTTTTTTTTTACTATATAAATTTCTTTCCTGCAATGCATGCCAATAAATGATGGCACAGATAAAAACCTTACCTGAAAGATTGTTGGATCCATGGCCCCAGGTTTGTAGTAAATAAATTCATAGTTGTGCCTGAACTCATGTGAGCCTGGCTGCAACTTGCCAGAGGGATCACGAGTATTTGGAGCTATATAAAATTTTTAAAAAAAGGTAACTTTTATTTGTCACATGGACATCAAAACAACAAAAGATTGGCTTTTATATGTGAATCATAAATCTGTTTTTATGTCAATATTCACTGTTTTTAAACAGAATTATTTCCTTTGTTTATTATATCCACACATAATCTTGTGCAATTCATTAATCTGAATATTTTTTGCCCTAAACATATTAACTTTCAAGTTATAGATTTAATACACTTTTACAGTTACCAAGCCACTGTTGCTACATGTAACCCTACTGAAAAATTACTAACAACCAAATCCAACACATCAAACTTTGAAAAAATAACTCACTTTAAAAAAATATTTAGCTTAAAGTGTAGAAAACAGAAAACATAAAAAATATATATATTTCATATACATTAACTATTTCAAATATCTTAAGCAAAATAATATTATAATTTTATAAATAAAAACATATTATTACATGTCCCATTGATTGCCAGTCTAACAGGCACTACGTCCCCACTGGAAGTCTTATATTCTGGCCTGTTGAAGTAGTAATCCATGGTCACTGTTATGTTGAAGGCAGGGGCATGAACACAGGTTGTCCAATGATCTACTGGGATACCACGTACCTGAAATAAATATATACGTGAATTTTTAAAAATTTTTTTATTTTATTTTTTTTTGGGGGGGGGGGGGCACTCAAGATAAGAGCACTCAAGATGGTGCTCTTTCTTACTGGTCACTAAATGAAAGAATTTTTTTAATAAAATGTCTTTGGAACAAAACTGTAAGCATAAAGGGGCTGAAACAGTGCCTTAGGCTCTATTCCCATAGATTTTAGATCGATCTATCCCCGCGGGGAGTCTCACTAGATTACTTTAAGATAATCCGACTTAAATGTCCGTCCCGCCTACTACAAGCTGTAAGGGGGTAATTAACTTTCGTGTCTGCCCGGCTGACAGCTATTTAGCGTGAACCCCCAGGGAGTTAGGTCGATCTAAAGTAGGTCGATCTAATCTATGGAAATGGGGTGTTATACAATGTACATTGCACTTGAAGACAGGCCAATGACTTCCCACCAATAACAACCAGTGACAAAACAATTGAAACCTGGACATCTGGAACCTTGATGAGACATTACAACATCCCACAAAATATGAATTGATACTAATTTCACATTTTTGCTGATTTAATTCTGAATGACAAATGAGAGTACCTTGAACATTATAAGTAAATTTACCCCCTCTACTCCAAAGCACACACTCTTATCAAATCAACTGGAAGATAATGAGGCAATATTATAAATTATCACTAGTCATTTTTCATAGATCAGTACACTGTACCTGGTAATTCCGGGGATAGATCGATCTAAAATCTGTGGGAATGCAGTCTAAGAATTCCGTTATTTTTTTTAACTTACTGTTGCTGGGCCAACATAAGTATCGTTGTACTCCTCTCCAAACATAAGCAAATCTTTAACACTCATGACGTGTCCACCACTCTTTCCAGGAGTATAACCAATAAACCCATAACTGCCATTGGCCCTCATGTCTTTAGTCGTACATGTACCATCTGAAGTTTGAAAAGATTGGATATTATCCTTAAGAAGGTCTTTTACAAAGTATAATAAGAATAATTTTAGGTGAATGAAATCTATATGGTCAAGCTACATACGGATTCTAGTAGTGACAAAGTCTGTTTTGATTACAACAACAGACGATTTTCACTGTTTTTAAATAGTTAATGATTTCAACTTTAACTCCCTATCTTACCAACTGATTGCTACCAAAATTACCCTAGATGTTTATTACCATGTGGAAAACAGATTGATATCAAGAATTACTGCCAAAAGTGTGTGTATGTAAGTTATCTCCTTTTGAAGTGATCAGGCCATTGTAATATGGAGTAATTTAACTTGGTGCTAGAGAAAACATTTCTTTTATCCCCAAAATGCCAATACAGGGTCACCTGCTGGATATTGCACATTATCAATCTTTTTCTATTCTTTGTACTTCTGGGAAGTTTAATTCATTTTTTAAGCGCAAATAGTTATGTTGTTTCTACAATTTTATCTTTTTCTTGATTACCCCATTATTGGACAGTAACTCTTAAAATTCTATGGTTCTATTGGGTATTAAAAATTTTCTTACATTGGTGTTGGTTAGATACTTACTGATAACTGTGAAAATTTCATATTTTTCATAGTTATAGAACTGTGAGACACTGTGGTAAGAAGAAGTTGTAAATACTGCAGCTTTGTTGTTTATCTCATCCACATACTCAATTATGTCAAAGCTTGTGTTTTTCTGTAAAAAAAATTAAAAAAAAATTCTTGGAATAATTGTAATATGTTCCCCAATCAACACAATTTGAACAAACTGAAAAATATTTCACCAATGTACAACTTTCTAAATAAAAAACCTAAAATAGAAATATAAATGCTCAAATAAAATTTGGTGATCTCTTTACTCATTTAAAACTGAATTATTGAGTTAGTAAAGACATTAATGTACAGCAAGACACTAAAGCATTAATATTGTCACTGAGTGCAAATTAAAGATTTACCTGAAAATCTTAAGCATTTTACTTTCAAGTACAGTGTGCTCTTTACTTTCTTATTGCAATTATTAAAGAAAACCATCTCTTGTCCATCATGGCAAGTGTTAAAGAACTGTGAGCTGCATCCTGCAGTCACGCCTCTTAAACACTGAACCACATCACTAACAACATAAAGATTAGATTTTGCACCTACCTGCAAAATGTTACACTCAATGTTGATCTGAAACTGTTGTGCTAGGGTGATCACAGGTTTCTTCCCAGTTGGTGACGGAGATACTGAGTGGGGGCATGGAACCCAATCAACATGCCTGGCCAAGGTGGCTTCAAAAAGAAGGCTTAACAACACAAGAAGCACTGTAGCTCGCATTGTGCTGAAACATTAAAGTTGTTTCATATTGACAATTAATAAAGTAACAATTAATATACATCTTCAATAAAATAAATATTAGTCCTTTTTTATGGCCTTTTTATAAATTTATACGAGCAAGTTCCCCACACCAGTGCATTTACCAACACAAATGGTTCTCCATATACAAGGTATTAAAAAATATATAAAAAAAAAGAAGGCTGAAAATTCAGATACACAGTAAGAAATTATGAGCAAGGAAAAAAAGATAAAAATTTTGGTATTATACAAAGGTACTTTAATTGTATTTAAATCATATATTGATGAATCTAATGTGCAGAAAGTATAATTGACAACTTGTTGTGTATACAATTTGATCTTCTTGTCCATGCCCCCAGTTCATTAAAGACATCCATTTATGCAGTAACCCACTACTATTGCTTTTGCAAAATAATAATTATCCAGAAGAACTTTGATCAAAGCAACCAAGCGTTATACACTGAACCTGGTATACTGTATGTATATATGCATAGCAAGAAAGCAGGAAATCTCTGTTCAAATATCATTTTTGGGGAAATATGAAATGATACCATTTGGTATTTCTTTAAATGCTATTTGAAATTACAACGTCAAGGTGGCATTGGCTAAGAAGCACTGTAGCACTAGTACAATTTAGGGTGGGGTTTGTGGCAAATATCTGACTTCAAGTTACCTAAATATTTTTGTAAACTTTGCAGAACAAACTCCAAAATATGTATTTTTAGCTCTTGTTAGTCACCAGATGTACCTATTTTGACATGAAAAATGTAGTATCACCCAATAATTAAAATAAGACTAAAAGTCTCACCAAAATACTTATTCGTATTTATCGAATGCAGCTGGAATTGTAAGCACGATAAATATGCTATTTCAATTTTTTGACATGAAAATCCAGGTTAAAAAATAAACTGGTGCATATGATGCACTTGTATCATGGAACCCAAAGCACGGAAGTATAAATTTTGGAAGTTGGAAAGTCTTAAAGCTAAACATACCGTAGTCGAAAATAAATGCGCCTTACAGGTGCACTTAATTATCTTTGCACGTTTGTTCTTACCTTGCTATTCTGAGAGCCCAACTGAACTATTTTCAAGGCTACTGACAGTATCACACAATAAAAGGTGAATATCCAGGTAAGTTTATGCGCGACTAAGTTTTTGTTATGAAAAGTTTTGTTGTTGAATCATAGGTGGTAGTACATTCAAGAAAAACTAATAATATTCCAACACACTGTTTTCAAAATTACCAAGAAGTAAATATGTTAGAAAATAACACAAACATACTTTATTCAGTGAAAGCATGCGGTATTAATTTTGTTCAGTGATCATGTGAGTTTTTTTTAACTGGTGGATTATCTTGGATTGGAATGGCCTGGTGTTGAAAATGAAGGCGGCAGCGATAAATGTTCACGATGAAGCACGTTACATGAATGAACTCCTGAATATTAGGTATCATTTTAAGGCCTTGCTCAAGCGCTTACCACAAGTAAGAAGTAGTGTAAGCCCTTATACTTACCGTATTTTAGTCCGAGGTTTGAAGCTCCTTTAAATATAAGTAATACAAATGCGATTCCACTGTAACTTTCCCGTTGACATACATTTTGTACACGTACAATGTCCTTCAGTCTACTCACTTTTCCCTTGGCATTATCTATTTTAGGAATCAGTTGTTAGTTTCCTGGCATCCTCTCACCATTTGTGGGCTTCATGAGAATCGATGGTCTAAAAATACCGGTATTTGACTTTGAAATGAGTACAAATAAGAAACAAGAACATCAGCTACTACATCGACTGCAAAGTCACCACTTCCTAGCAGAAAATCCAGACAACTCTGCATCATGCCAAGCAGATGCCCTGAGAAACATGGCATGCTCTCTGCAGTATGCTGCAGCAAGTGATATGTGGGTATTATTTGTCACATTCAAATATACTAGTGAAACGGTTAGCCCTTATGTCGGGGATCAATAAAAATTAAGCCTTCAGAACAGTTTTTCACCTTGACTGCTAGTCCTCTCGCCATTGTGAGTCAGAATAACTGGCAATATAATATTTTTTTTTCGGGATGTACAGTACCTACATAATTATAATATTCTTTTTTATTTTTCAGAATAAGCAAAGAATGCAGCTTTTCTTGGATTCAAGGTGTCCTGGAACGTTATTCATCCATAGTGGATTCTCCAGAGGAACAGAACGGTATGGTGTTCTCATACCTGTTGCATAACTCTGCCTAGTTGTTAAGACTGCCTTCTCACTTCCCAATTTCTTTTAGTAATAAAGCTGGGCCTTGAAAAATGCACCTTCCCCACATCTGTTTATAAGCTTGTTTGGCTATGTTATATTATGTACTTTTAAACTTCTGAATAAAGGCATATGTTGTTTATAAATTTACATATTGATAGTATACAATGAATACTTAAATCAGGCAAGCAATGCCTATAAATAAGATTTTGATTTTGATTCTTGCCAGATGAGCATAGTGACAAGAGTTGTAGGTGTTAAATTTGAACTGTTTCATATCATTGCTTTTAGGTTTGAACAATTTTGCTGAAGGAGCATTGTCTATCTGCCATGAGCATAAAAATGGTAAGTTCAAAACTGTTTTAACCATCAACTCTTTGAAGAAGTGTAACAATTTTTGAAAAAGTGGAAACAATGCGAATAAAATTGCTTTCTGATTTAGTGATTAAGTTTACAAAAATCAAGTTTACAATGGCCTCATTCAGAATAGGGAACTAACTAGTCTAAGGGTCAAATATGGTAGTGAATTCTTAACAATATTCGTGCAATTCCAGCCAAATCCCATGAATATTCGTAACACTATTGCACCTGTATCATAACTGAATCGTAGAGCGTGTCGAATTAGGCCAGAAAATATGCAAAATCTCATGAATCCTCACGAATCCTGAAATTTGTCAATTCCTGGCGATTCGGGGGATTCGTTGTCTGTTTAAAATAGGCCATAAACTGTTAGTCCTCATGATAGCTTGCTAGAGTTTGGATCGCTCACAAAGCAAAGAAAAGGCAGGCTGCCAATTCTTCATTGAATTTTTTGGTGTCTGACTACAAGATTTATGGAGATTTTGAGCATCTGATGTATAGCTTTTTAATTTCAGATAGCAAACAATGGAAGAGCTCTCTATCATATGATGCTGTAGCAAAGTTAGATTGTGTTCAGAAATATTTCAAGGCAGCCAAGGTTAATATGGTTTTTATGCTAAATTAATAATTATGAATTATATTTGCAGATAATTTGATTGTTGCTGGTACCTTTTACTTCTTTCTGTTGAAAAGCTTAATGATCTACATTTTAAAAAATTTATAATTAAAAAATGTACTAGTACATGTGAAAAAGATCAGGTTCATTGATGGTGATGAACCAGTGTTCCACTGTTGATATAGAGTGTTTTAACAATATCTTTTTACAAGACTATCCTCACTTTACCATATTGTTTTCTTGTGTATTTATTTATTTATTTTTTTCATTGTATAATCTTTAGGAATCTGCTGAAACAATTTTACCTGCCAGTCATGTGGCTCAACAAATTGCTATGTGTGACACCTCATCAGTTGCTGGAAGTACAGCTTATAACAGAGGGAATACTGCTGGTCAAAGACCAAATCCCACGGTGCCAAGTCCAGGATACAATCCAAAAACTGAAACTGCATGTAGCAGTGAAGGAGTTATCCATCAACAGGCTCGGATTGGATCAAGAAACCACTCCCTCGTGCTTAAACAGCCCGATGGAAACCAGGAACTTTCCAGACTGCCTTTTACATGTAATTCAACCAGTAGTGGCTCTTCTGAATATGGATCTGGAAAGAGGAAATTTGGAACTCAGGGTAGGATATAAATATAGACTGAAAAATTAAAAAAAATAAATGCTAGATAAGAATGGGCATTGTTTTTAACTGACCATGGGGTCATCACGCACTGGGTTAACTAGAACTGTTATTGGACTACATGTAACTTCAGAAAAAAGAGGCTTTGAGTACAATTTCACCAATGGATCATTGTGGATCTGCCTGCCCATTGTGAGGACTGTTTAACCTGATTTAGTTGATTGGTGCCATCAGAAAGTCTGCTTGCTCGAGTTCTGGGGCCTGGCTCACAAAAGGATTTAGGTGGCAAAGTTTGGTGAAGGAGAGATTGCAGTTGCTGTTTTTACTAGCTGAGTTGGATTTTGCAAAGAATCTTAAAAGTAGCTTACCTTTGTAATATATACTATATAATAGACACTGTAGGTGTCTGTATATATTCTGATTGGTCTGTCTGTCCATGTCATCACTGTGCTGTTGCTGTCACTGTCCGACACATGACGTTCGCCCTATAACTGCCAAACCGTATTTTTGTTTTACTTTAAGTTTACTTTGGAAAATCGGCATGATCGGTTTACATTTACAGTAATTATTCTGTTTTTTTTGTGTGTGTGTGCGTGTGTGAAATTTTCATTTTTCACTTATCAGCATTTTCAGTGGCTTTTATATCCGATGGAACTGAATCACTTTCATGTTACCTGTAGTACACAATGTAAGAGGGTAAGAGCAATTAAGCTGTTTTTAAGCGTTATGTTACAGTGCATCAAAATTGGCCAAAACATTTTGTGCACTTTTTTCTGCATTATGTCTGAACACTTAGCAACTTTGCTGCCTTGTTTCCTGTATGGTATCTGTATATTTGCCAGCTTTGCTCTCTAGTTTTTCAATTTTGGTTGCATATTGAAATAGACTTAACCACTGCACAAATTTATGTTTAGGAGGACCTTTCAGTGGTTTTGGCAAGTCAGCTGCAGCAGTTTCAAACTCTTACAGCAGGGTAGAAGTAAGTAACTAATTTTGTGTTGCCGGTTCATAAGTCCAAGCGATAAGAATGCAAAGTTGGGTATATTGTTGTAATAGAAGGAATTTTTTGCTATTCATCATGTTCATTGTTTTCTTAATTAGAAGACTTTGTGTTCTTTTTATATGCCCATCATCACAGTAGTGTGAGACTGACATTCCATATTTTGCAATAATCTGCATTAAACACCTAAACAAAGTATCAACAAGAGAAAAAAATAAGCAAATTCAGAAAGACCACATGGATTTAATGTGAAATTATCAGAGGGTGCTAGGAATTGAGCAACACATGATTTTGAAAAAAAATTACATTTTGTTTATTCAGAACATTCAGAATGGCAGAGGAGCAGTAAAAAGAGAGAATGTATGTGCAGAAGATGATGAAGACAGTAAAGCTGGAAAATTTGATGCTTTTAGAACAGCAAATGAACAGCTGGTAAGAGGTGTTTAGAAGCTACACTGTAGTAGTTGAAGTTACAAATAAAAGTAAACGTTTTATTATAGCTTGTAGTTTTTGTGCTGCAGTAAGGCTTGAATAAAGTGCAATTGTATTTTCACCAAGTATTTTAACATATTTCTTCTAACTTTGACAGAAATTAAATCAGATGAAAAAATACAGTCGCCAAGGGCCAGTGAATGCTTCAAATTATGGAATGAACAAGAAGTCATTGGGAACAAGGTAAGTCTAGAAACACCTCAAATATAATTATTCAACAGTAATTCAACAGTACAGTAAAAGTGATTTGTAGTCTTCAGTGATAATCTTACAAACAGTTATTAATTTTGCTTGATTTAATTTTTCCTTTAACAGGAGGGGTCTTACTAGTAAATTTGTGCCTCCAGTAATGAATAGAGATGGCAGTGATTCTGATGAAAGGTAAGAAAAAGGGCAAAATGAAACTTTGTAATGAAATTGACATTGATATTTTTTCCCTGAACATTTTTGACAAATGTATTGACTGTAAATCATAAACAGTAAGCGTCTTGTCCAAATAGAGAACAATTTTCTCTTTCCCTCCATTTATCCAACTTTTTGAAAATTAATTCTATTTATTGTTGATTATTCAGATTACTAAATTATCTAATACAAACATCTTGTTTTAGCTCTACACTTTTGAAAAGATCTGGACTCAATAAAGCTCAAACAACAGATGAACCAGTGGATGAAAGACTTAAGAACATTGACCCTAAGATGATTGAATTAATAGCAAATGAGGTGAATACAAATATTGCACTTGAGTTTAATTGGGTTTATTTTGTGAACAGATTGAATTAAGTGGTGTTCAAATGCTCAAAAGCAAATGGATGTAGGTTTTGTTTTGATTTCTTCAGTGAAGTAATGATTGTACCTCCAGTGTTTTCTCTATTTGTAGATTATGGACCATGGTCCACCTGTGAGCTGGGATGACATTGCTGGACTGGAGTTTGCAAAAAATACTATCAAAGAGATTGTAGTTTGGCCAATGTTGAGACCGTGAGTTATATTTTTCCTAATAATTCTACCACAAAGTAACTAATTTCATACGAAAATTTTAATTTCGAGTCACAGATTGTAGGATTATCTTGTCCTAAATCTGCCTATTTTCTGTACAGGAAGCATGTTTAAATGTACCCAATATAAAGACTTCTGCAAATTTTGATGTAGAAAGTTTTACTATCTTTGTTGAAGAAATGTATTGAAATGACTGTTTCTTGAAATGCAGATTACAGCAAAGCATGTGACTGCTAAATTGGTTAAACTTACTTGCTGAAGACCTCGGCGACTTTTTTCTGTCAGAGGTCCTTACAATTGCATTTTTTATTCAATTTCAGTGACATCTTCACTGGTTTGCGAGGTCCACCAAAAGGACTGCTATTATTTGGACCTCCAGGAACTGGAAAAACCTTGATTGGTTTGTTATATACTTTAAAATAGTTATGGTTTTGTTCCTCTTTTTGATTTAGATCATTAGTTAAATATGGTCTTTTATTGTTAAATTATTTGCCCTTTGCAAATAATTTATGTAAAGATTATCTAAAACAATTATACTGATATAAATATATTTTAGGTAAGTGCATTGCCAGCCAGTCCAAGTCAACATTTTTCAGTATAAGTGCTTCCTCCTTAACTTCAAAGTGGGTAAGTTATAAATTTCAGTGCTCTCAAATTGTGCATATTGGTATCAGGTTGACAATTCCAAGATTTGTTTGAGCCAAAGTTTGTAGGTTTCAGCTTTACTTCATTTCTTATTTTCTATTTATTTATTTATTTATTTATTCATTTATTTATTTATTTATTTATTTATTTGTTATAGCTATGTGCTATGGAAAACATATGAAAGGGAAAAACATTTATTTGTAGGTAGGAGAAGGTGAGAAAATGGTCCGTGCATTGTTTGCAGTGGCCCGCTGCCACCAGCCAGCTGTGATCTTCATTGATGAAATTGACTCGCTGTTAACACAGAGGACAGATGGGGAACACGAAGCTTCTAGGAGAATCAAAACTGAATTTTTGGTGCAATTGGTGAGTTTTTGCTTAAAGAAAGGTATGCTTCTTCCAACTGCATTTGGTTAATTTGAAGAGTTTGCTGCAATCTTTGTCATAGATACTTTCTTAATTTTGCTGTTTTACAGCAAAAAACATAAAAAAATTGTACCTCTAAATGTAAGTTACAGTTTTGATCACCTAAACCTGAGTGGCCACTAGTTATTAAATGTATCTCTTTCAGGATGGTGCAACAACTGGAGAAGAAGACAGAATACTGGTTGTTGGTGCAACTAATAGGTGGGACAGTTCCTATAACAGTGTTACTACTAGTTAAATAATAAGGAAAATACTGGTAAATTGAATTTCAGTTTTTGACAGCTGGATAAAGTATGTAGCATAATGAGGGCACATTGACCAATTTTTAGATGAAAGAGTATTTAAGAAAAATATTTATTTCTAATTGTACCACCAGCGTTATCGCTGGCGGTACACATGNTGAAATTTCACCACCCTAGGCCCCAGGAGCTAGATGAAGCTGCAAGACGAAGGTTTGTCAAGCGTCTGTACATTCCTCTCCCAGAGACAGCTGCCAGGAGACACATAGTGGTCCACTTACTGTCACAGCAGACCTATCAACTCACTGAGGAAGACCTGGACAGTATTTGTGACAAATCTGAAGGTGAGCGTTTCTTAGCATATTGTATTAATTGCCCTCACTAGTAAAAAACTTGAAAACAATTTTAGAGCTTCTTTAATTACTTCATCTGTGATGTGATTTTGTCCAAGAGGCAATTAAGAAGAATGTACTTCTAAGTTATGAAACAGTTTGCTTTTTATTATGATAGTTCCCTCTTCAAAATCTAATCCAAATAAATTGTTTACAGCAATGTCATATTATTCAAAAGCCAATTGTTGGCCATTTTAAACAAACCTAAATCTTTGTCAGCTGAGATATCATAGGGATTATATTTTTGAGTACCACTGTCTCAGTGTTGTAGCTGCCTGTGAGATTTAAATGCCACTCAAGTTTGTTATTACACTGTTTTGTAACAGGTTATTCTGGTGCTGACATGGCTAACCTGTGTAAGGAAGCTGCCTTAGGACCTATCAGATCTATAGCATTCAGTGATATAGAAAACATCACTGCAGATGAGGTAGGAAACTAATATCAAATAGAAATTTTGCAATGTACAATATTAGACCCACAGGCAGGTGTGTTTGTGTGTGTGTGTGTGTGTGTGTGTGTGTGTG